GTGCCAAAATGGCCTCGGGACCCTGTACAATGGGCAGGGGAGCCAGAAAACAGCAAGACCCCCACAAGGAAAGTCAGAAAAATCATAGACCAGGAAGCAGAAAGGAATAAAAAGGGGAACACCCCCAAGTGAGAGGAGGAACAAAACCCCCAGCTGGTCCCCTGGGACCCTGAGCACAGAACCAAGTAAATACACAATAAAACAGGTACACAAACAGTCCTTACAAGGTAAACCTAAATGCTAAGTTAAGCTAAAATCCCCAGACATATAATCACAAGTACACAAAAAATAGTACAACCAAAGTCTCAAGAGACAAAACAAATGGTACTTGTCTATGGAGAAGCAAAGAAAGAGGAAATGTGTAGGGAGGTGCTAACTATTATACTGGGACTTGGTATGGGAGTGGCTTATCACGATGTATGCCATTATCTCTTACTGTATTGTATTCTTTGCTGCTATTGGTGGACAGTAAAGAAAGGGATATGCAATATGAGCCTCCGTGTCTTGTTGTAAAATTATCCGGTAAATGGAAATATAGCAATAAAATAAGAATGATTTATCATTGTGCAACATAACTTTGAATATCATAAACTGAAAATGACATCTTAAGTATCCATATCTGGTCAGGTGGGGTCACGTATTTAAGTTATTTTTTGTCTGACTTCATTTTCCCAAATATCCCATTCTTACCATAGAAGATTGCGTGTATCAGATGGTGGTCTAAGTCTGATTACACATGTCATATTATCGAACAATAGAATGAGAATGTAACGGCTACCCAACTGTAGAGGGGTATCTGCCGTTGGAGATGTCCTTTTTTGTGCAAGCTGCTGTGTAGTAATGGAGTCCTTGTTCCCATCCACGATATCCCAGGGTATAATCCGGCAGTACTGTAAAATGAGGCAGAGTAACGGTACCATAAATCCCCTCCAAGAACGAGACGAGGCTACGTTTTGAAGGGTCAAGTAGAACTAACTTTTAATGACAGGGGATCTCTTTTTATGCAATGGTGCCCTCTGAGAGGCTACACCCACATAATTAGTAACACAGCCAATTACACACATGGTTCAACCCCCACGTCTCCTCCCCTCAGATAACATGTAACATAATTAAAACAGACATAAATTTACCCACATTCTGGATGTACCCCAAAAACAGGGGGTACACCTTTAAGTCCAGCACCGCTTAATAGCTACCACTCAGGGGAATAACATACCCAAATTTCAAGTCATTCGGTTGTGGGGTTCGGGAGTTATGGGTCTTTGAAGTTTTGACCGACCGCACAGGATTTTCAGCCGAAAAGAGTTCCACAAGTTTTGGCCTTGCGGTCGGTCCCCGTTCGTGAATAAAAACCCCACGAACCCCTTGCCCTCCACAGTAATCCTGCCGTTCGCCTGAATCCCCATGCATGCTTAAACAAAACTACCGAACGGCCGGTCGTTCGGTAGTTTCAGCACGAACTTACGAGCTCCTGGAGGTCTCAGCGGTGTTCGCCTGTTTGCGTATCCGTTTTTAGTTCCATGCGTTCACAGGCAAACACCGCCGTTCGTGCGTAAGATGGCCGCGAACACGTGTAAAGTCCCGAAATGGCGGCCACCTATTCTGAGACAAAGGGATTCGTCTGAACCATGCGAACGGCTCCACAATCACTGGGAGGTAAAATAGTAATTAACTGTTCCCCTGGGTGGTCTGATGTTCGGTATTTTGGGTAGCAATAGTTACACGAACACCAGTCATTCGGTTCTGTTTAACCTCCCCAGCAGCACTGTAAATTAAGTTCAGGCAAAACAATACAGGGTTCTGTTACAGAGAACTTCTTTAATTTCTGGAACAATAGGTGATTTCCAATGTCATGGAAGAGCCATAGTAGCTGAGATCAAAAGATGTCCTAATGTGATCCGATTATATTTTGGTAGTTTACCAGAAATTCTCTTAAACAGGCAGAGTTCAGGAGTTAAAGTTATTACTGAGTCATCAATGGTTTAAATTAAAAGATTAGTAGAGTCACAGTAAGATTGCAATTTCAGGCATGTCCAAAACGTATGGCATAAGGAACCCACCTGGCCACACTCCCTCCGACACTTATTGGTATGTGAAAGTTGTAGCTTAAAAAGCCTTGAGGGAGTGAGGTACCATCTATGTAAAATCTTGTAGTGAGTTTCCAAGTGTGATATACATTGAGTGATACCCTTCAAGGCCAATGCAAGCTCTAACCATTCAGTAAGCTCACATTCTTTACCTAATTCCATTTCCCACTTGATCATCGATTTAAACTTTTCATTCAACATTCCAGCCAACAAATTATAGCAAACAGAATCATCCGTTTCTGAGCAGGATCAGAATTTTTTTCTTCATATTTTAATGCTAAACAAGAGTCATTTGCAGTCCAGCATGTCTGTGCTGCTTGGGATAACAAGCCTGAGCATTAGTGGTATGAATTGGAATGGCTAGAAAGACGTTTAAGCACTACTTTAGCCATATCTCAAGCAAGGGCCAGGCTGTGGGTGGTCAGGGACCCTTACTGAGTGTTAAACTGCTTTAAAAGGGTTTAACACTAAAAGGATGGGTGACTCCAGGCACTATAAACAATTCAATAAGATGAAATGGTTATAATGCCTACAGTGTCTTTTTAATGTTTAATGTTTGTTAAGGGACAACAACTAATACAGGTAGGAAGTAGAACAAGAGAAGAAAATGTTGCCATACCCACAGGAAATATAGAGACATTATATTGGACATTCCAGTGATAGATGGGAGAATGTTGCAAATATTGCAGTTCACGGCTAATATATAAATTTCCCCTGATGAGGAAGAGGAAGTCATGCCATGTCACGTTCACCACCCACTACAAGCACATCTCAAGGATGGCTGTGGGGTAGCACTGCAATATATGGTGCCAGTCATATTGATCAGCCGCACATTGAAAAATAACAATAAATGTATTAACATAATGGCAGCTGTCTGAGACACGTAGACATGTAATCATCTCAGATGTGCCGCCCAGAGGACATGGCCTCAGTGGCTTCATGGCAAACCCAAGTCTGGGTGCCTTCCGTTTAATAGAATGATTAATGAAGTTTTGTTACCATGGAGAGAGCATGTAGATTATTATTGTTCAATTACATGCCAAAGAGTGTATGGAAATGCAATGTTATAACTGCTTACAGGGTATGTGCGAGGATACATTTGCAGTGTTTCCAGCTGTTTTGTGAATGAAGATACATTGAAGCAGTTGATTTCGGGACCTCAACACTGGTCGGAGGTAACAGATTTCTGAACAGCTGTTCCAGACTTGTGGGTCAGTATGGATTACGGTCAATAGACTAGGAGTGTCTGAAAAAAGATGGACGCTGTAGGCAATTTAACTGCTACATCTCATTGAAGTAGTTAGAGGGTCTGGAGTACTGATACTGTCCTTTCAGTTAGCGTTTTTAATGTTTTCTTCTATAAAAAGAGTTCTCAGCAGCACATGCCCTCTGTGCTGCTTGGGCTAATGGGGAACATTAGCCTGAGCATCAGTATGCTGTAGTGATTGACTGAGAGTGTTAATTTACCTCTTTCAGCCTAGCACAGCTGCCATTGCTGGTATGAATTGGTATAGCTAGAGGAGGTGTGTAATCTCAGCCTTAGTCTTACTGCTAGTTGGGGTGGGGCTTTGTGTGGCCAGGAACCATCGTTCAGTGTTAACTTGCTCAAAATGGTTTAAAGGGGCACTATAGTGTCAGGAACACAAATGTGTATTCACTATGTATTCACAGACTATGTATTCACAAACATCTATACACTATAGTTCTAAAACCACCGTTGAGGTTGTCGGCCTTCCTTACCTCAGAATGAAAGGTGATTTACTCACCTTTTCCAGCATCACATGGGGAACCATGCACCTCAAATCCACTTACTTGGCAGACATCATCACATTTTATGATCTCAGCCAATCACATTGTCTTCGCATAGGAAAGCATTGGATTGGCTGAGATCTTCAATTCTGATGATCTCAGTCAAGGAGGCAGGGTGGGTGGGCAGAGCCAAGCGCCGCTCTGGCCAATCAGCATTTCCTCATAGAGATGCCTAAAGTGTCCCTTTAAAGTGAACATTTTTCTTTTTTTCTTTTTGTTGGAATTTTTTTGTAAGTTTTAATGCATGAAATATATAATTGAATAAAAATGGGTCACTCCATTCCTTAGTGTATCCCTTTAAATTTATATTGAGGGCTATAGACATACTAGTGTGTTACATTTAAAACTAAATATTTCTGCACACATTAACAATCCAATGGCAAAATAATAAATGATTCATCACTAGTTCAAGTATAGACTATTTCTTGCTGTTGTGGATTACAATTCTATATAGGTTCAATAATTATCTCAAGAATCAAAATTCAGAGCAGCTATCACATATACCATACATCTGTAAACTATATGACATCTGTTATAATTAATATGCTTAAATTGTTTTCTAATTTACATTTTTGCATTCAAGAAATCTGGAACTAGATAGAAGTCTTTTCACTTCCATCTGGTATTGAAACGGTTAAACATAGAAAAATAACTAATTTTCACGTAATATTAAAGCATTGTTCCTAATTCTAAGGCATTGTTATCAAAATTGATACAACGTCCATGTCTGCTACCCTCCAAGATGATTCTTCATAAGAAATCACCAAGGTGACTGAATCTGTATAAATAAGCCAGATGTAACACATTGTTTTATGAATTAAGATTGTTCTTTAACAGCATTCTTTGTGTTCACAAAAGAAATAGTTCCAAGGTGGCGAGGAAGAAAAGAGAATTGCCTTTTCCAATTATCCATAACTCTTCAAACCTGTGCTTGCCATTCTCTGTCACTGGTGCTGGCTGTAATTGTTTTATAATAATAATAATAATAATCTATTTATGTGGCACTTTTATCCCAAAGCGGACTCAAAGCAATTGGTGCATGCAACTCAGACCTAACCGAACCAGTTGCTATTATATAGTTGCAACCTAAACAAATCGACTAAAGATAGTTACTCCGTTGATAACCTTGGAAGAATGAAAAGCTAGATTGGCCTACCAGCAACAGAACCTGCAACCCTGGGATTTAGCAGGTCCTATAGTTCATTGATTTACTGACATACAGACATGAGAAAAAAGACACCCTATTTTAATTCGTTCATTTTACATATCAGGACATAACAATAATCTGTTCCTTAGCAGGTCTTAAATTAGGTAAATACAGCCTCAGATGAACAACAACACATAAAGGTGCTGATAATCAAATTCCCTTGATAAACTGATCATCAGCAAGTGAGACCACCTCTACAAAAGTCATGTTTTAGCGGTTTGACACTATGCCAAGGAGGAAAGAATACAGCAAAGGTCTTAGAGAAGCAATTGTTGCTGCCCATCAAACTGGGAAGGTTTATAATGCCATTTCCAAACAATTAGAAGTCCTTTTTTCTACAGTGGAAAAGATTATTCTAGAGTGGAAATCATTCAAGACAGTTGCCAATCTTCCGAGGACTTGATGACCCAGCAAATTCACCCCAAGATCAGACCATGCAATGCTCAGAGAAATTGCAAAAAAAATCAAGTTATATCTCGTACTCTACAGGCCTCATTTACCTGTTAACGTACAAGACAATATAATTTAAAAAAGACTGAACAAGTATGGTTTGTTTGGAAAGGTTGCCAAGAGAAAGCCTCTTCTCTCTAAAAAAGAGCATGGCATCATGGCTTATATTTACAATGTTGCATTTGAAAGAACATAAGACTTCTACAACAATGTCCTATGGATGGATGAAACCAAAGTGGAGATGTTTGGCCATAATGCACAGTGCCACGTTTGACGAAAACCAAATACAGCACTACCACGTCATATCAACTGTCAAGCATTGTGTTAGAGGGGTGATAATTTGGGCTTGTTTGGCAGCCACAGGACCTGGAAACCTTGCAGTCATTGAGTCGACCATGAACTATGCTGTATGCATAATTATTCTAGAGTCATATTTAAGGCCATCTGTATGACAGCTAAAGCTTTGCCAAAACTGGGTCACGCAACAACAGAATGGCCGAAGAAAAAAAAGAATCAAGGTGTTGCGATGGCCCAGTCAAAGTCCATACCTCAATCCTATTGAAGTGCTGTGGTGGGACCTTAAGAAAGCTGTGCTTAAACAAATGCCAGCAAACCACAATGAACTGAAGCAACGTTGTAAAGAAACATGGGACAAAATTCCTCAACGATGTGAAAGACTGATAAAGTCATACAGAAAATTATTACTTCAAGTAATTGCTGCTAAAGGTGGTTCTACAAGCTAGAGAATCGTAAGGTGTACTTAGTTTTTCACGCATAGCTTCTCCATTTTGGCTTTATTTTTATTAAATAAATCATGACACTGTGTAATATGTTGTGTGTTGTTCGTCTTAGGTTTTATTTCCTAATTTTGAGAAAATTATTATTGTGTCCTGATATGTAAAACCATAGAATTCAGAGAAGGTTGTACTTTCTTTTTCCCTTGACTGTAACTATCTCATATAAAAATATATGTGCATATTTTATTTTTGTGCATATCTACATAATAAAGGCAAGCTTATAACTAGTGACTCTACTTGGTAACATTGATAACATCTGTAGTAGATCAGTCCTTACCAAATGAATTAGCATAAAAAATATATATATTTGATCTGCTTAAAGTTAATCGTAATGTTTTATGACAGAAAAGCAGTGAGAAATATGGAGCCCAGGGCGGCAGTCCCTGTTCATTCATCTGAAATATGCTTTACAATCACACTATATCTCTGTATAGGGACTATAAATGTTCCCCTCCCGCACACTGTCGTACAGAAGGCTTTGTAGATCAAACAAAAGGGCTTAATTTTAGCAGTGGGAGAATGATGTGAACACACTAATTATACTACAGTGTTTTTGCAGGCTGAGATTGAAATCTCCAAGTCCTGTTTAATGCAGAGACTTGATGTAACTGTGTTTATTAGTGGACATACAAACATAAATATGCATTCTGGTGACTTTTATAGTAAACTGCATGCACGTTCCTTACAAATAACCCCTAGGCAGCACATTTGACCATTTTATTTTATGTGCAATAAAAATGGCATTTCTACTTTTGTGCTATTTCAGACTCTATTTGATAGATTAAAGATAATGTCTTATCTTGCACTATTTCAAATATACAGGATTATTTACTAAAGTGATCATTTGTAGTGCATTTAAAGTAAATTTCACGTCAGGTCAAATTAGCCAAACTGGAAAAATTCTATTCTATTATTCTATTCTATTCACCAACTTTTTCCTTAAATCTTAAATTCACTTTGAATTCTAACTTTGAATAAGCCTGTTGGTATTACCCTCCTTCTATGGTTCTGTAATGCATGAACTAATATATGTATAAAAAGGTGCAAACATAAAATGTTTTTGTTTATTAGGCATAATTGAACAAAATTCTAAACACAAATCTGCTGTTAACACTAAAAATATTGTTTTAGTATCGCATCCCAAGTTTCAAAATATATTAAATATATATTATTTTCTTCTTTGTTAAAAAAAATAACTTGGAAGTGAAGTTGAAAAAGAGTGTATATTTATTAAAAAATATAACTTCAATAAAAGATAGAGGCAATCTACACGCTGTGCTTTAATAATCCATTTTTAATATATTCCATTTCATGTTATCAAATTTGGGGCTTATTTACTAAAGTGAATGTTGTGGAGAGTTTGACAAACCAAAGATTTAGGGAAAAAAATATTAAATTGAAAAAAAGATAATTCAGTAAACTCAGAATAGTAGCAAATTAAAATCTGGGTGCCATAACTGAGCCTAAATAGCCTAAAATGTGACTATAACTGCGTTCTAGAGGGATTGTTTTAGATAAAATGTTTTCATTAAGATTTTAATTTGCTACATTTGCAGGGTTTGTGACCAATCAGGTCAGCTAATATTATTTCTTTTCAAACTATGTTTCAACTATATTTTGTCACCTTCACAGGTCTCACTTTTAGCAAATAGCATAAAAGTAAAATTTTAAATATATATATAAGTGAAAAGCGCCATGTCCTGATGAAAGCTCCGTAACGTTGATGTCATTTTGAATAAAGAAGAATAACTTGAAAATCCTTGGAGTGCTGGTATTCCCTCTGTGTGTGTGTGTGTATATATATATATATATATAGATATATATATATATATATATTATTATTATTATTATAATATATATTATATTATTTTGTATATATATATATATATATATATTATTTTTATAATGTTATTATATTGCTTCTCTGTGATACATTTAATTCAAGTTAGAAATTCCTTTTTTTACTGTATGCTGTTCACGTATTTTTTCCTTACTCATTTTTAGCTTTTCATAAAACCAACATATTTTACACGTCTTGTTGATCTATACACCAACAAAGTACAAAAGGAACTGCACTCATTTCATTTGATCACAAATTAGGTCCAACCAGACCAGTGGTTAGCACAAACCCCAAACAGTTGAATCCAAGAAGAAAGAAAAAAGTCTAGGCACTCCAAAGCTAAGCAAATTATTTAGAACAAAGTTATTCCAGCAACGTTTTGTCCCTACATTGGGTCTTTTTCAAGCTTAAAGGACCACTATAGTGCCAGAAAAACAAACTCGTTTTCCTGGCACTATAGGGTCATAAGATCCCCCCCACCCTCAGGGCCCCCCTCCAGCGCCAGGCTCCCTTGGCAATGGGGAACCCTCCTACTCCTGCCGAGGTTAGATCTGAATGCGCATGCGTGGCAAGAGCCATGCGCGCATTCAAACCGCTCATTACTCAATGCTTTTCTATGGACGTCCAGCGTCTTCTCACTGTGATTTTCACAGTGAGAATCGCGGAAGCGCCTCTAGCGGCTGTCAGTGAGACAGCCACTAGAGGCTGGATTAACCCTCAGTGAAACATGTTTTCAGCTGCAGGGTTAAAACTAGAGGGACCTGGCACCCAGACTACTTCATTGAGCTGAAGAGGTCTGGGTGCCTATAGTCGTCCTTTAACAAAGACCCAATGTAGGGTTGAAACATTGCTGGAAAATGTTCTAAATGAACGTGCTGCACTGATCGTTGGTGCATTTAAAGGCTATAAATCACTATGAACCAAATGTATCTATGTGTATATATGTGTATGGGATAAATGTTTACTTGTACACATTAAAGAAAGTATTTGATTTTTTTTTTTTTTTAAACAGTTATGATTGAACAGATCTGATCTTGTGTAAAATGCAAAGCACATTTAGAGATGTTGGTTCATATAAATGTCAAAGTTACATAAATGTTAATTTTACAGTTTCTCATCTGTGTAATTTCTTGTCACTGATCATGATGTGCATTTTAGCTAGTATTTTCTGAACAGATAAAATTAGTGAACAGCAGCAGCTGGGGAAGTTTCAAAATGGTGGGTCAGTAGACCCTACACCCAGAACCTGACTGTGTCCATTTAATCCCATGTACTGAACCCCTGATCCAAGAAGACACCATGCCCTGTTCGACACTACAAGAATAAAGATATATATTTGTGAAATAACAACCACTTTAAAAAAGACTGGCATAACCCCTGATGGTGTTACACAATGGCATGACAATCAAGAAGAAAGGACAATATACCATGCAAATGGGTCAGTGTTTTAACACGCACCAAATCTTGACATGATTAGTTGCCCAGCCTTCCCGCAGAATCTCCATCCATTGTGAAGAGATGGAATACACTGGAAAACACAGTTATTATTAATCCCTAAACTCCAAAATATTTGTTGGGACTAGGAGGGGTAGGGTTGGAAGAGGCCCCAAATGCCCCGTAGACAGCAAATAAATTATCAGTATAAGAAATTCGTATCAATTTAAATTAGGTCAAAATCTAGGCCTTCCTGTAGCAGTAAAAGGCAAAAATTCTCATTGTTTTATCAACTTCTGTGAATTTCCCCCAGTGTAATTCATATATCACAACTATTTATTATATTTTATGTATTTGCCCCATGATGCCTGATAACATTTCCAAAATATTTTTTTTTTACATGCAATGAGGGTGAAATATTCTTCAAATAATCCTGCTAGTGTACATATATTCCTAACTGAGATTTCTAAATACATTGAATTATAAATTGCTCTGTATACTACTCTGCAAAAGGAGCCAATGGTTCTTCTGATGATTATCACTACATTTTAAATATATAGCTCCCACCACTTTGTATAACATGATAACAGCCCCACCAACATCATAAAATAATCATAATGCAACAACAAAATGTTGCGATAAAGCATGTGTGCCATCATCTTTCTGTCTTTCTGGTGCCACCACCATTATTCTTAATATAACTAAATAATTAATGTAAATATATATATATAAGAAAGTGCCACCCCATTTCTTAAACTAGTGATAATTTATAAGATTCATAAAAAGGTTCCCAGCCAACCACATCATGTAGAAGATTCTAGCTCATACATCTTTCCTAAATAGATTGGCAATATTACCATATTTTTATTTTCCTCTTGAAAATTAAATGATGATGGCAACAGCTTTTTTAAAATGCTCTCACTTGTTTTTTGTTTGTTTTTTAAACTATCATTTCTCCTCTTTCGTAATCATCAAAGTGTGGTTCAGGGCTTAATTTCTCTTTCTCATTTAATGGCAAGGCATCTTTTACACAGTCATAATATATGTAAAGAAATTCACATTGTCAGAATTCAAAAATCAGAACAGATTTTTTTGATTTTCACAAAGCAAACAGTAGTTTGCCATTAAGTTTATTTAGAAAAAAAATCGCATAACAAACTTAACCAAAACCAAATAACTGTATCCACTGTACACCATCTGTTATTAAAATAAAAAATACAAACCTACACAACTTTCAGAATATCAAAGAGCATTTTAAACAGTGAGTGAGTTTGGGTTCACCCTTCAAAACAGGTGGCCCAACAAGTAATTCATTAAAATCCACAATAGTATTACAATATGTTCATTGCGTTACATTGACCAGAATAATAAAATATATTTGATACATTTATTGAATGGGCTAGAAAAAAAACATTTTGAAAAACATATTACCATAAATTGCGAGTGTTTTTTAAAGTAACCAGGCCATTGTCTTTCATTTTGGTACCTTATTAAACTGTCCAGTATCACACCCTAGTTGTACAATATAATGATTGATGCCCTCTTCTGCAATGTGAGAGCACTGGGTAGGTATAGATAGGAGCGATATATAAAGGCATAAATCATTTTTAAGAAATAAGTTGAGTTTCATCACCTCTGTAGGAATTTAAATATTAAAACTATATAGGGGACCCATCGTAAAATTAGTCAGTGAAAAATGTTATAACACCAGAATTATTTTCTTAGCAAAGAAAAAGTGCCACTTTGATCCCATATGGTCCATTGTCACATTCACACCTGTGTCAGACCACTAACACACATTCAAACCCACATTTCCTCTTTTTTTTTCCCCATTCACTAACAAAGATAATGTAAAAAGTTAATCTGCTAACTGGAGCCCAAAAGTTTGAATAATTCCGTTTAGAATCACATAAATAGATACATCCAAATCCATACTGTACATGTATAATACATCTGCATATATGCATATTTAATATGATATAGTTATATAAACATCTGTCTCTGTATATTTGCTGCTTCAGTGCTCTTTGCTGCCCCCTGTGTCCTGATCACTTTGTTCATCAGTGAAACACACATCTACCTCACTGTCATTGTCCTCACTTTTAGCCTCTGGCTGAGAGAATGATGGGTCAGTCTGTTCTTGGTCTTTACTACTCAGACTCTGTCCTGGATGTCTGGACTTGACATGTCTTTCCAAGTCCCTTCTCCTCACAAGCACCTTGCCACAATGCTCACAGCGGTAAGGGGTGTTCCCCTCTGCGTGCAAACGGATGTGCTTGTTTAAGTTACTAGGGTCCCCAAATGGTCTCAGGCAGACCTTGCATTTGAGGGGTTTATACCCTGTATGAGTCCTCATGTGGATCTTCAGGCCGTATTTGCGAGAGTACAGTTTGCCACAGTAGAGGCAGAGGTGGCCCTTTTTGGGTTTGCCAGTTCCTGGGGCAGCAGCCCCTGCAATGGTCTCCAGCCTGCCCACCCTGTTCTTCTCAGAAGTTATCTCAGAGAGCTGGTGGCTGTGCATAGCTATCTCACGGTCAATGCTGGTGGTGATGGAACCCAAGTCTGGGTTCATGGCTGGTCCAGCGTTGAAGTAAGACATGGACTCCGGATACTTAATGAGGTTGCTGAAGTGGAACTTGAAAGGGTAGTATGGGGTGCTGTAGAGGAGCTCCCCGTTGTACACAGTGAAAGGCATGACCGGGATGTTACATTCCGTTGAGTAGGACTTGATGCCTTCAAAAGGTGGGATGGAGAACCTCTCAAAGTGAAGCCCCGCTGGTGGTACTTGGTTGTAGCGACTGGTGGGGGAAAGGCTGGCATGGATTCCCCTTTCCACGTGTTTGAAAGCAGATGTTTCATCCAAGTGAGAAAGGATGGGAAAGCCCCTCAGGCCTGTGGAACAGGACAGGACATTGGAAGGTCCATCTCCAGGGTGTAAGCACTTGGAATGGTGATTGCCGACCAAAGCGTCATTTCCTGAGCGGTTTGGTTTGATACCTCCCAAATGTTTGCTAAAACCCAAGCCATTGGCTTTTGTGTCCTCTCTGGATGAATCAGCATGAGGTAACTTGGATAGTCCAGTGGGTTTAAAAGCAGACCTGATGCCTGGATAAAAGGCCATGCCGTTCCCTCCACAAGCATTGCCCACTATACCAATAAATTGTCCATGGTTCTTTGCTGAACCTACACTCATATCAAGCGCCCTGTCCTGTTCCTCCTTCCCAAGAGCCTTCTTGATCACCCCCAACTTGCTCAATGCAGGAGACAATGATGACTCCCTTTTAATGTGGTCCCTGGTTGCATGCTGAAGGTTGCCTCTCAGAGGAGGGGTAGCACCTGACACCCCATCAGAGATTTTGGGGGACCCAGGGAACAGTTCTGAACTTCTGACTTGCTCGTTGTTTAGAAATCCCCTGCCGTTGTTCAGTGTGCAGTGGAAATGGATGTGAGCCTTCAGGGTGTTGGGGTATTTAAACGTTCTCCAACAATACCAGCAAATGTATCTCTCTTCCCCTGTTAAAAAAAAATAAAAAAATCATGGTATAAATTCACATGGCCCAGTGTATGAGATTAAAAAAAAATAAAACTAATGCTTAGTATGTTACAAAATGTCAGCATGCAGAGCATCAAATAGATACATTGTATATATATATTTTTTTATCTACCTAAAATATATACTTAAAATATATACAAAATGTCAATTATGCAGAGCACAAAATATATACATTATATATTTTATTAGCTGTCTGTCATTTATCATCCTCTAAAGATGCACAGTTGCTTCTAATGGCAACAAATGAGCATCCAGTGAAGGTTATCTGAATAGCCTTGTGGGTTTTTTTCCCCCCCTATTTCAGAGCCAAGTCATGCCAGTGATTCTCACAGTATTCAAAGACTATTCATCCTTGTGTGTGTTGTGCATGCAGCGCAGTGTGATTTTACTATCAGAGCATGGTTTAACCCTTTGTGACTCAGACTAGACCATGACAGCTGCTGTCATGGGACCCCAGAAGGAGGCAGCTATGCCTTGCACTGGGATCTGCTCCATCTGTTGACATTAGGAGAATAGGTAGCGTATGTCGGCCAGTTTAGGACTCCTCACAACAAAAGGTCTAATGATGGTGAGTTTCCACTACAAAGACAATATGTATGAAGGATCTGTATCCAGCCATTCTTCCTCCCAGATACAATGGGTTTAAAGGTACAGCCCCCTGCTTTAGGGTGACCTCTGAGAGCTATGATTCTATATGAGGCATTCATAGCATCTGTGTACAGTATCAATGCACCTCACTCAAATCAGAACACAAGGACGGGATCTGGGGACATTTAATATGGGCAATATATTTTTGGTTAACTTTGGAAATTGTTAACTATTATAAGAATTAAAATGAAGGAACTAGCTAAATGAACATTATATCATATAGGGCAAGGGGTTAATTCTGTCTGTTTCTTGGTGCTGTGTAGTTGGTGTATAAGCGCGTTAAAAAATATAGCATATCTTTGTCCAAAATGATCATCAATTCTAATTTTCTTTCTTTATGGAGACTGGTTGTGAACAGATTAATTCGTGGGAGAATATTCCAGTTAATATACACAAATATTAACATTCAAAATAACATTTTGTTTGGAAGGGAGAAATTTCAATTTTGTGAAACCTATTTTGTTACTTTTTGAACTTGTATTATTATTATTATTATCTTAATTTGAACGCGTGTTTTGTTTATTTATGTTTTTTGCAGGTAAAATCAAGGAGATCCCACATCTGATAGTGAGAAAGCTGCGTTAGAAATATGCTTTTTATTCGTTGTGTTTAAGAATATAAGGATTGCACATGTTTGTTCTTCGAGATAAAATATTTTTTATAGCTGTTCTTATGAAATCTTTTTTTAAAAGCATTCATACCAAAAACGGATTTACTTAACAGAGAGCTGTTTGCGTAGGGGGAAACAACCGATATGGGGGAAAAGACACGATTTTCCCGATTTCCCAACTTTTAATTTGTTTATTTTTGGCTTTATTTTTCAATTCACTTATCTGCTCATCACAAAACTCGCGAAAAAGCTTAATGCTACCATGTAATACCTGTGCAGCCAAATGAAGCAATACTTGGTTAAAAGTCAGATATTGAACGAATTTAAAAAAATATGCCTGCCTAAAGGCTCCAGCATATTGCGAAGCGCTGTACAAAAAGGGGAAAAAAAACAAAAAAAACTGCCATTTACAATTGTATAAACATCTTATTTTCGGAAACATATTTTAAATCAGATTCAATTTTATTTATAATGTAGCGATTGAGTAATATATGTAATAAACTGTTGCTTTTTTTTATCATTACTTGACAGTAGTTTTAATACGTCTTTGAGCGCTACCTTTTGTGCATTTAACGGTTAATAAAATAAACAAAAGATTGTGAATATGAAAATAATATGTAGTGATATGTTTCTGCAGTGTGTTTATCTATATCATACACGGAATCTCTAGCAGACGCACATACTACACACTGCACACAGTCACAGTTACACAGTCACATGCATCACACACACAGAGCATATTACACAAGTAAAGCCACACATTACAAAGAGAGAGCGTGTGTGTGTGTGTGTGTGTGTGTGTACACATATCTATACATATATGCGCATATATCTAATTGTGGTCCATTAATAGCAAGTCTCCTTAGTTCTAAAATTTGGATTAAATTAACATAATGAGATTACAACCATAAATCACATGGTGTGTTATGCTCCAACGCATCCATATACATCACTTTATATATATATATATATATATATATATATATATATATATATATATATATATATATATATATATATATATATATATATATATATATATATATCACTATCTATATAACTATATATTTCTTTTCCTCAATATTTTTTAGTTTTTTTATTTAATTATGTCTTATTTTACTTTTTGCACTATATATATTTTTTCTTTTTAGTTTTTTCTTTTAGGTATTTATTTTTTTTATTATTATTTTTTTTCTTAGATTATGTGAAGTAATTACGGAGGCACGGGAAAAATCCAAATATTTCGTTTCCTGCAATAAATGTATAAATTTAGAAAGTATAAGGAATGTTGGATACCTTTCTCGTCGTGGGTGGGAGTTGCAGTAGTTGAGATGTCAAACCATTGAGCCAGAGAATTGGAGTACCAGGCAGTGAGCTCTTCTCCTGCCTGCACTTCCCGGAGTGTCCTGTAGTAAATCTGGGGAACATCAAACAGGGGTCAATGGCTCCACTTTTTACACTCTATGAAATAGTATCTTTCTATTGTCAGGGCTGTCATTAAACTGTTTTTGCGGTCTGGATTCTTGTTCGGTGCAATTTAGAGTTTAGTTAATCGTAAGAAAAGAAGGAAAAAATAATGGCTAACACTAAAGGTCTGAGAACTGCTGTTTTTAATTGGATAATAAAGCATAATTTAAGAGTAATGCAAATACTACATAGTTGGGGTTTATTTACAAAAAAAATAAATAAATGTAAAAATCAAGTTTGCTATATTACGCTAAACACATTGCCGCTCCTTAAATAACTAAAAATATGTATCCAAATTTGCCAAATTCATTGCTTATGGAGTAAATGCCCTCTGTGTCCGTCAGTAAATTGCTCCCTAGCAATAGGGAGACGGAACAGTTGGGATAATAGGGCATATTAACTAAACCACGCTGTTTAATAAATATACTCCATTATCAAACGAAAACGGAGTATATTCGTGTGCTATAACTAACAAAACTTAATTAATACAGCTAACCCAAAAACAATGGAGACCCGCGTGTCTCACAAGCTGCTTAAATGTTCAGGGAACCTGCGAGTTCCATGGTTTTACCCTTAACTGACACAGACCTGCGTGCTGTGTACCATACCGTTCTATGTTATGCTTGATTCATACAAAAAATAATAATAATCTATGACGGAAGAACCTCTTGTCGACATAAACAGATATTTACAAATAAAAGATTTAAAAAAATAAATAAATAACTGAATTAATAAATAATACCAACAGCTATTATGCTAATAAGATAATCACTCTAATGGCACCCCACGTGATCTGTACTATATGGAATGTAAATAGAATGTTGGGATTTACCTGTCCTCCTGGAAGGTCCGAGATAGCCTCAAGGTTCTGCTCCTGGCCGTTCCTGGCAGCACGGATTAACCCTATCCATTCCTGGGCAGGACTTCCTGCTTCATCCAGGATCTCCCCTCTCACATACCGCACCTGCAGAAAAGATAGCTCCAGTCACTGACTGACTCCCATCCAAGATACCTCCTGCATCACTTTGTATGTGTATATCTGCTGAGTCTATAGGTATACATATAGGAGTGTTAGATGCAGGTATATACAGGTGTGTTAGGTACAGGTATTCATACAGAGTGTTATACAGAGGTACACATACAAATCGACTACATATAGGTATACACACAGAGTGTTATACAGAGGTACACATACAAATTGACTACATGTAGGTATACACACAGAGTGTTATACAGAGGTACACATACAAATCGACTACATATAGGTATACACACAGAGTGTTATACAGAGGTACACATACAAATTGACTATATGTAGATATACACACAGAGTGTTATACAGAGGTACACATACAAATTGACTATTGACAGAGTGTTATACAGAGGTACACATACAAAATACACACAGAGTGTTATACACAGATACACATACAAATTGACTAAATATAGGTATACACACAGAGTGTTAAATATAAGTGTGTGTGGATATATAGGTATACATACAGTGTTATATGTAGATGTAAAAACAGTTGTTATAGTTATATATATAGAGAGAGAGAGCATAGAAAGTGTTATATATGGCTGCATACACATGTACGTACATATGAGTGATATTTTTAGATGTACGTATTGGGTATTAGATATTATTAGCTATAGCTATACATAAAGGACTATTGTAGTATATATGCAGTTGCGTTACACAGATGAGTACACGCAAACTATTAGATATAAATATATACATGAAAGGCATTCTGATAGCAAAAAGGTTCAAGTTCATTCCTGACACGTTTCCCCTTTGCCCCTTGTGACTCCCAGTCTCCAGCCTCAGGCTACAAAGCATTTACTTTATTCACGTTTGTGGCCCTGCTTCTATTGGGAGAGATCAAGTCAATAACCTAATACCCAAAGGAGCTATATAGTAAGAGGCATATCAAGGCGCCGCTCAATGGGCCAGTAATAAAAGTCATATTAACAAAGCAGACTAATGTGAGAAGCTAAGAGTGCCAGATGATGAGAAATACATTTCAGGAGGCTGGCAGGGCGTTTAAAAACAATTAAAAGGCATTAAAAGTCAATGCGGAACGTGGGACAAAAGACAATGATTTGGTACCTTTGTTAGTTTTGGTTATAGTTAATAATTTACCGATAAATGCATTCTTTTGTTTTAGCTTTGTTAAAGAAATATATATTTTAACATCAATTCATTAATGATGCCCTGAATATTCCTAAGGGTATGTTGCGTTTTGTTGTGTATATAATTTACACATATATAACATTTCAAGTGAGCTAACAAGTTAAAATAATTATAAATAATTATATGAAAACCAAGTCTAAAATAAATTTTAGGTCTAGATTTTCCATATCGCTTCTTCAACAGATAAGTCGAACTATCATTACCTATTTTTGTTAACTATTTTTTTTTTAATATCATGCCAAAAATTCTAACCAGTTAGAAGTAGACGTCAATCAAAACGTTTGTTTGTTTTCTAATATAGCTATCGAACGTAAACCAGTTATTGATATAACTATTCTCATGTAAACAAATTGGAATCTGCATTTTTACTAACGAAACATGTTTCCAAATTACCATAATGGACTACTCTATTGACTACTGAAATAATTAATTGAATCTATCTATCTATCTCTCTATCTATCTTTATTTTTCTTACAAACTGTGATGTAAATTAACATTACTTACTAGAATATGTTATGATATGGTATGTCTTTAAATAAAACAAAAAGTAGATTTTACTATCTATCTATTTATCTATCTATCTATCTATCTATCTATCTATCTATCTATCTATCTATCTATTTATTTATTTATTTATCTATCTATCTATCTATCTATTTATTTATTTATCTATTTATCTATCTATCTATCTATCTATTTATCTATCTATCTAATCATACTTTTCTATCAGCATCAAAAATAAAACCAGTATTGAATAATAATAAAGCAAGTTCTGTTTTTTTTATCTATATAAACTGCGCAAAGTTACACATACATATTTAGTATGAGTGTATGTGTATATATAGTTATATTTAAAAACCCAAAATAAAACATATAGGTATAAGGAAACATATCAGCCTTATACCATGTAAATAATACACAGTGGTACTCTTCTTTGATGTGATGCTATCCATTATAACAGGGAGCTCTCCTTAGCATGTAACATCACATAATGCCTCTTCAGTCTCCATTTCATTGAACCTCAATGCCAAAAAAATCCAAATATATACACCTGAGCAGATCAAGCTACAGTGGCTTTCATCTATTCCCGAAAAAACACCCTCTAATGATCCTTCTTCAACTGGTGAGGGTCAGGTAAGAGTGGGGTCATTGCAGCCCAGGTTATAATGTAGCAATGTTAAAAAGCTTGCAATCCTCCTTAGAACGTTCGATTACCACCTGCATTGCCACCAAGCAGAAAAGTCATCCAAATAATGGGGGGGGAAATACATTTTAAAAAAGTACTAATACCTTTTTCTTTGGTCCAGGCTCCCTGCGGTCTGAGAGGTACTTCCCCAGTTTGAAGATGCCCACTAGGGGACCAAGGCGCAGGCCGGCTGGGATGCTGGTGTCTGCGCTGACACTGATGGCTGTGGGTCTGTTGGAGTGCATGTTGCAGTCAGGGAGAGAGCAAGTCCTGCACTGCGCTGAAGTGACAGTCAGGGAGGACACCAGGACCACCACCACAACCACTCAGGCTTATCTCCTCCCGCACTGTGACGTACTGCCCTCTGCACACTGGCTTTTCTATAGGCTGGGGAGTGCTACCCCTTGGGCTCTGATTTTGGTGAGAGAGTTGAGCTGTTTCAGCAGCTGCCCAGATTCATCCAAGGGGGTCACATGGAGACTTTCCCTAACCCTGCCTGCATAATCAGCTCCCATGAATGGTAAACAGACAATAGTCCAAGCGACCTTCCCATTCCTAAAAAATCCAATTTGTCAAGGGCAAAGAAAAGGCTGTGGTGAATCAAAGGTCTGGGGGGACCATTAATCCTCAGCATGGGGTATTGTCCCCTAGACAGTTACGATATTTTAAGTGACAAATCCACAGTATAATTTCTCCATAAATTTTGCTTCTCCTTATTGTCCGCAGACAAACCAGTTTTGCAAAATAAGTGACTGTTTTAAGTCTACTTGGCTGAGCCTTTTCAGGTTTAATATACTTCAAAGATTTTTAATTCTCTTCCATGGCTTTATAGCAAAGGACTGTTTAACAATGTGACCAGGAATGTTTGTGGACTTGTTAAGTTCTCTTTGATTCCTGGCGTGTGCCACAAAAAGACAACACTAGGCAGGTACTAAACACAAAACACCAGGAAAGACCCACAACATTTAAAATAGCTTTAATTGTCAAATAGGGCCATTAGCTAACCAGCCTTTTGATATGCTATCACTTTAGTGTATATGTTGTCTTCTAATGAAACACACTCTACCCAAGCACAAGAGTGCAGTAAATAGTACTACTCTGGACATAACTGGACATATTGTTGCCTGACAACAATCCCTTTCATCCTTGGGACGCCTGATGGGAGTTGTAGTCAAATGTTGGAAAAAAAAATACAATAAGTAAAATGAGCAATCCACTATTTTAAAAGGCTATTTATGAAGTTGAGGTGTAATATGAAAGCAGGTATTTATTAAGATGCTCTTTGACACAGTGGCTGATGTTGGGCTTCAGAGCATATTAAGTTATAGGGAAAGACATTTAGCTGATTTTTACAAGCATGGCATTTTACACATGTAGAATAGTTATGCTATATGCTTCAAGTGAATTATTTTAGGATGTAGGTATGTGCATCATTTTGCACAAGAAGCTAAACTCCCGCAATAAAATAAATCTTAAAGCAAGAGAAATGGTATTGTATATGGTGTAGAGTGATTCTCTTTGAGGGCAAATAAAAATAATGCAATATAACGTGTAAAATACTCATTTATTTTAGGGAATATCCAATCACACCGACAGACAGACAGAAGGATAGATAGATAGATAGATAGATAGATAGGGAGAGAGAGATAGATAGATAGAGAGAGAGAGAGAGATAGATAGATAGAAAGATAGATAGATAGATAGAGAGAGAGAAAGATAGATAGATAGAGAGAGAGATAGAGAGAGAGATAGATAGAAAGATAGATAGATAGATAGATAGATAGAGAGAGAGAGAGAGAGAGAGAGAGATAGAAAGATAGATAGATAGATAGATAGAGAGAGAGAGAGAGAGATAGAAAGATAGATAGAGAGAGAGAGAGAGAGAGAGAGAGAGAGAGAGAGAGAGATAGATAGATAGATAGATAGATAGATAGATAGATAGATAGAGAGAGAGAAAGATAGATAGAGAGAGAGAGAGAGATAGAAAGATAGATAGATAGATAGATAGATAGATAGATAGAAAGATAGATAGAGAGAGAGATAGAGAGAGAGATAGAAAGATAGATAGATAGATAGATAGATAGAGAGATAGAAAGATAGATAGAGAGAGAGAGAGAGAGAGAGAGAGAGAGAGAGAGAGAGATAGAAAGATAGATAGATAGATAGAGAGAGAGATAGATAGATAGAGAGAGAGAGAGAGAGAGAGAGAGAGATTTGACATTTAATTTCTGTTTTGTTTAAAGATATAACACAATCCTTGTCAGTATTGTTAAATTACAGCACAATTTCTAAGCTATTTTGCTGGTAATAATACCAACGTTGATAATGCATACTATGCACTAATTATTATATAATAACCTGTTATATTTTTAGATTGTATTACATTTTTTCATAATACACAGGTTGTCAGATTATTCAGATCTACACGTATAATGAAATGCTGAGAGGGTTATTTAAAGTACAGTGACAGGGAGGAAATAATTGATACATATTGCAACTATGAAAGAACAATTATTATTTTTTTTAGTTTGTGGGTTGATACTTTTAAATGTTACAAATTATATTTCAATGTTACTGTCTTACCTTCCTGCTGTGAGAGAGATTATGAATTGGTCAGTAAATCTTTGTAAAATCACGAGACACAGGTAATTAAATGAAGACTCTGTGTTTTAATAATTAGGAAGATCTTTCATTTTAAGAGATGAATGACTTACGCAGTAAATAATGAGATATGGCTATTTGCCAACGTAGTTTATAAGCTATAGTAATTGAGTTAGATTTTTTTTTTTTTTTTTTTTAAATCCCTTTCGCAGGTTCACTAAGGTGTGAATTGCCAGGATTTCAAAATTCATTTCAAGGACACAATATACAGATTAGAAAAATTCTCAGTCACTTGGAGACTTTTTGTCGCTTACAATTTAAAAATGTAAAACATTTTTTCCAATTCTGTTATTTTAGTCTTAGATTTGATATTCCCTTCCTTATTCAGTTTGAATCCCCGACAATTCTCCCTTTAGCACATCATCATATTTTACATTCCAAATATTTCACAATTGAGAAGAACTCAGAATTAATATGGACCACTAATTCACCACACTTTAATACAACTATATATCACCACTTGATAGACTTTATTTTTGAGCTACAAGCTAAGGGAATAGTCTTTAAAGGAGTAAATTGAATGAGTCTACACCCCAAATCATGGAGTTTAACCCCTTAAGGACACCTGACATGTGTGATATGTCATGATTCCCTTTTATTCCAGATGTTTGGTCCTTAAGGGGTTAAAGTCCTGATACTCCACTTGAAGAATGCCATGAATGGTATTTAAAAAGAGATACAGAATAAGGTTAAAACATGGATAAATTATGCTAACCCCTGGCCTGGTGACTCTCACATTATACAATCTGTAAAGAAGAGAGGTAAATGTATTTACTGTCTTAAGGTGTCCCATCGCTTAATTTGGGGAGAGTCCTTATCAGTCCCTAAAGAGTCAAAAAGGCGTGAACGACACGCGAACAATTTTATCAATAGGATCATGTAAAGGGGGACTGCATGGAAAGTTATTTATTAATATAGCCAATTGTGGTTGTTTCCCATCGTCAATGAAAAGAATGAGACTTATCTAGAAGCATTCACACCAGCTACCCAATTTTTATTCTGTCCTGTGGCTCGGAGTTGAAGTTCCCCAAGTGAAATAAATTGTCCACAAAAGGGAAAAGAAACACATTTTCTTTCATTATTTTTTTTTTCTTCCTTTAAAAATAAAATAAAAAAAGGGTTGAAACCCATCTAATGTGCCAAGTGGAGCAGGATTCAGCATGAAAGCCTTGGTGTTAAAAGCAAAAGCAGTGTTTGGGGGAAATGGGATGGAAAATTAAATGAAATTAAATAGCTTGAACGACCGTATTGTCCCTGGCTAAAAAGACACATTAATTACATGGATTCAGCTTTATCTAAAGACAATTCAAAACATTCCACTATACGTTTTATAAACTCCAACCAGCTTTATGGAAGACTCGTTAACAGAGCTAAACTTGTGCACAAAGATAACTTTGAGGAGAGATATTTTATTGCTTGAGACCAGTTTTTCTTCTTGTTTTTCTTATTCTTCTGGTCTTTTCTCTTTTTTTGGCAACCACAACTGAACTACCCATGGCCCTAAATAACACTGTGGCACAATGTGCTTTTTTTTTTTGTATTTTTTTTTTTTAACAGGTTGCTCAATAATGGGGCATGAATTTTAAAGAACAGCAGTTGTTTAGAAAAGAACAGTTGCTTAAAGAAATGAGCCGCCGAGGGGACCTATTCACATCTTCCCATTTCTACAACACAGAGATTGACTTGCAATACTTGCAAACCAACATCAACATCATCCAAACAAGTCAAGGGGCATGTCTCCCCAAAGCAGTTAGCCCATACAGCGTTTAGTGGTTTAGTGATTAAACTTCGAATTGTAGTAAATTGAAAACTAAACTGCAGACAATCAGGCTTAATCACAGAAGGGAGAATTCAAAGTGAATTTCAAATGTTAGGCCAAACTAGACGAACTGGAAAAATTATCCAAGTCAGCAGTGCTTTAAGTTTGACTACTCTGGCCTTAAATTTGAAATTCACTTTGAATTCACTTTATTGAATAACCCTGTAAAAAAGCTATGGTGTGACTGTATATGCTTTAGAACATTTTACCAAAGTGCACCCTATGTATTACAATTGGATTCCAGTCCAGTAGGATTCAGTGCTTAGGGCTCAATTAACTAAACAGCAGATTGTGGCGAGGTCACCCAAAACATGGGTTGAAAGAAAAACATGTCCCAGTTGGATATTTTTCTTCACATTGGTCTAATTTGGCATATAATTTGTATTTCATTTCTGAACTCGCCAACATTCACTGTTTAGTGAATATACCCCTCAAGGAAAAATTCAATGAAAATACATTAAAAAAATAATAATAATAATTATGCTTGTTCCTCGTTATTCCCCAAGCATGTTTGACCAGCTATCCACTAGTTGTAGTTTTATTGAAGAATTTTCAATTTCATATAATAACCTTTGTTTTTATATACTGTTTAGCAAAAGCCTATATTTTAAAAAATAAAAAATAAATGTGACATCTTCCCAGCTATGTTTTTCACAATTGCTTTGTGATAATATATTCAATTCAAATAAACTTTAATTATATTAGGAAATAGTTCATTTCCTCCATGTTGATTTGAAACCAGCAGTTCTCCTTGTTGGCATGCCAGAGGAGGGGGCTTGGGGGCTTGTGAGGTGATGGGTCTTCTATAGGGAGCACATCCTAACCAACTGTGCAGGGTATGAGGGGTGGCGGGTGGGAAAAG